ATAGGCTTCTGCGACGTCTTGAGCAGTAGTCGAATCCATCGGTTTGCACATGACGTATCCGGAGAACATGTCCTGGAAGAGAAGTAGGAACGTGTTTCCTCGCACCGACTCGGAAGGTGCGTCACAAAGTCCATCGAAACAACTTCAAACGGTCTTCTCGGTTCGATGTTCCCGGGTGATGGTCCCGAGTTCGGAGGGCGTCCCTTTCCACTTGCGCAATCCACGCACTCCTTCACGAAGCGCTCAACGTCAGCATACATTCCAGGCCAATAAAACTCCGAACGTAATTTTTCGTGCGTCCGGGTAATGCCCTGGTGTCCGCCTTGGTAGTCTTCGTGAGCATAGTGCAAAAGATCGGGTTGGAGAGCCTTCGGGACCACCAGTCTGGGTTCATCTCCAACGTCACGTGGGCGGTCTCGGGTAGAGCGTGCCAGGCGATACAAGACATCTCGGGTGTCCAGAATGAAATAGTCAGCAACCTTAGCAATCTTGCGGAGTCGTCTCGGTGAGAACTGACCCACGTCCCCTTTCAGGAAAGCTTTGATCTCCGATAAGTATTCGTCTCCATCCTGGTGCACTCGAATGCGTCTCCACCGTTCCGCCTGGAACTCTAAGGGTCCCAAAGGTGGCGGTTCTGGCTGGACTTCCTCTTGAGCCTGAGACCGCGTAAACACTGCCAACACTTTTGCAGCAAGAGGCAATGGCGCAGACTCCGGACCTGGTATTGGATCACCGCTTCCGACACATTCGGTTTCCGAGCTTCCATCCAGAACTGCCACTTCTGTGTGAACTCCATCTGCTTGGACTTCATCTGGACTCTTGGGCGTCATCATCTTCTCAGACAACTTCGATACCTGCTCCAAGTGAACCATCTCATTCGGGTCGTCGACAATCCAGGACTCGCCGAGGGCTAAAGTCTTCGAGGTGAGGTAATCTGCCGCTTGGTTGTACTCCCGCTTGAGATGTACCAACCGGAGCGACTTGAAACTAGACTTCAAAATTTCAGCCCGAACTAGATGTCTCTGTAGGCGCGGTTGATTGCAGTTGATGAGACCCTGCACTTGCTGGATTACAATCCGAGAATCACCGACAACAACCAAGTCTTCGATTTTCCGGTTGGACGCCATCTGCAGTCCTTCCAAGAGACCATGATACTCGGCATCGTTGACTGTGACATCCGTCAAAGCGAAACCTCGTGCTTCCAGGACACTCCATCCAGGCAACTTCCACAAAACGCAGCCACAGCTACCGAGTCGGGTCGACGTCTTGGCAGCTCCATCGAAACTGAGAACAACACCTTCGAAGTCGGGCTCCAGCATCTCGACACTGATCACCGGGGGCTTCCGAATCTCGCCTTTAGCTGGGATCAGCGACTCGGCGATCTTGTCCAAATGCTCACGTGGTGTGATGCCCGCGCCCATGATAGCGGCAAGTCCGTCTTCGTCCCGTTGCACCTTCCGGATCTCCAAATTCCAATGAGACAACGCAAGTCCCCACGGAACACATCTTACGTCTGCCGATTTCGAGTTGATGACCCACTTGAGAACGGAATATCGCGTGTAGACAATTATCGGGCAGTGCTCGACGATCGTTCGGAACACTCGAAGTACTCTCAAAATCGCGATGACCTCCTTCTCAGCACTGTGGTATCTCAGCTCAGCATCTTTCAGAACTCGGCCTGTGTATCGGACGGGTTGGATGAGCCCATCGTACTCTTGACCCAAAACGGCACAAGCAGCCCATTGGTTCGCATGCGGAATGATGATGAATGGTCGATTTCGGTCCGGATGCCTCAGCAGCGGAGTCGACACAATCTTCCTCTTGAGGATCTCGAAAGCTTCCTTGGCTCGAGCTAGGCTCCGGCCGGAGCGGACTTGTTCGTCCGAAAGCTCGTACAGAACCGCGGCAACGACTGGAAAATCTTCGATGAACTTGTGATAATAGTTCAAACTGCCAAGGAAAGACTGGATCCCCTGCAGTGTTCGGAAACGGCAAGTCCAAAACTCCTTTCGCAATCTTCGGGGTTGCTCGAATCCCTTCTGCACTAACTTCGTGAGAGAGGTATGGGATCGAGCGCTTCCCAAACTCGCTTTTCGGAAGGCTCACGGAGATGTTCCAGTATCGGAGTCGAAACAGCAAAGCATTCAAATCTTCACACAGCTGGTCCCAGGTCGCCGCTCCATGAGCAATGTCATCAATGTAGGAACTGCGTCCCAGGACAGGGCCCATCTGAGGCGGAGCTGGGATGTTCCACTTGAAGACAGTCATCCCTTCAGTCAACACTGACATACCTCGTTCCGAATTGGAGTGCTCAGTTTCCAAACGGACCTTGGGATCCAGACCGAGATAGGCGAGAACATCTCGATCCACCTCTGCTTCTTCTTCTGGCGACAACCGAAGGAAACCCCACAGACAGTTATTAATTACTGCCTGGTAGATGAGCGGAGCATTCTTCAGTCCGAATGGCATGCGGATCCATTGGTAGTGTCCGTATGGGCAGATGAAAGCGGAGATCAGCTTCGCTCTTTCCGACATCCGGATAGCCCAGAATCCACTAGCCATGTCAAGACTCATGAACCACATTGCACTCTCGAAACCGATCAGCAGGTCGTCGATCAGGGGAAGCGGATAGTTCGACAACTGGATCAATCCATTCACAATCCGGTAGTTAATACACATTCGGATATCAACTCCATTCTTCTTCAGAACAATGACGATCGGAGATGCCCAATGGGAATGAGAGGTCTCAATCAAACCAGTTTCCAGGAGCTTCTTCAACAACTCGTACACCTTGATCGCAAGGTGAGGGGCAATCGAGCGACGTCGCGGAGCAACGGGCTTGGCGTCCGCCACATCCAAATCACAAATCACACCACGAGCTGGCGCTGGCGCTGCGTTTCCGTCCCCAAGGAAGATCTTCTGATGATACTTCAGAATGGACTGTAATTTCCGTTCCTCTTCTGGAGAGGTCACATCCGGGTCACCAACATCCCGATATCACACTCTGGATTCAGATCACGCACTTCCGGGATCATGGTCAGCTGGTCCCGCAGTTGAGCCAGAAGATCACTGCCCTCATGGATATAGACAGCAGGCTCATAATCCAATTCCTCTGCGTTCATCCTCATCACACGATCATACTCCATCTTGAGTTTTTGAACTGGAGTACACGGCATTGCTTGAGTCGGCAAATCCAGATCTTCTTCCTCCACGGACATCGGCTCCTGAATGTCTGCTTCGGCCGTAAGACCTTCCTCCGGATAATTCTCATCGAAACTGATCGCGTCGAAAACTCGTCCTCATCCGAGTCCGAATGTTCGGACGGAAATTCTTCGTCTTCATCCAAGACCTTGAACCTGGGCACGTCATCTTGAGAGCTAGCCGCATCGTCCACTTCCAAGGGTGCATCTTCTGGGACTTCCTGCTCGGGACTATTCGTGACGAATGTCACACGTTGGGGTTGTTCTTGCACCTGGACTTGATACACTGTTTCAGCTCCAGATGGCAGCTCCTTCTTCAGCATTAACCGAGTTGGCCACCGGTATTCGGACTTCGGAACACATGGAGGGGCAGCGTCTCTCAGCATCTGATTGTACCGATCCGTTCGCAACTGGGCCTGCTCCGACTTCGTGTTCTCGTAGATCAGGGTTTGCCATTCTCGGTATCTCCTCAATCCAGGTCGAACAAATGTCCAGACTTCGGGAAGAATCCAAACTCAATGATCCGAGCGACCGGCGTCCTGGAATCTATCCACAGATTCTGATCCGAAATGTTGACCACTTTCACAGCGATTGGCCAGGACCGAAGGGTGTAGATGATCTTGGCCACCCAGCGATCGCCTCGACCAGCCCAGACCACTTCGCGTTGGGGATTATTCTGGCCGTAACGAATCTGGACGATCGCATGTTCGCCCGGACCTATGTAGAGCGTCTCCGTAGGCGTGACTGGAATGTCGAGTCCTTGCCGTTTCGGAGCCAAACCATATTCGGACAACACCACTGGTTCTTCATCCGGAAGTTGTACCAAGCCTTCCGAACACACAAGCGCACACCGGCGGAATACATGAAATCCATCCCCAAAAGCACGTTGACACCGTCGCCAATGTTAGCCACCCACAGTTCCAAGACGTACACGACTTTCGGACCCAGAGTGACCTTGACTTCAGTGCGTGCAGTGATGATCGTCGGAACTCCACCCAATCCAGAGATCCGGAGCTGCTTACAGAACTTCAGCTTGAGCTTGAGCCTACGCGCAAGGTCCAAACTCACCATGCTTGCTGATGCTCCAGAGTCCAAGAGGATAGATGTCCTCCGATTGTTCACCGCGCCGTCCACCATTGCCACCTTCTTGACTTCGTCCGATTCGTTACCTGCCCACCATCCATATCGCTCACCTGGCTCCAGTCGAAATTCAACCAGATCACTTGGGTCGCGAGCTTCAGAAAGTGAGTGTTCCAAATCCGGACGCGGTTGATCCAAACGAGAATTATCAGAAGAGGAGTCGTCGTCTTGAATCACAGTCATGCATTGATGGTTACTTTGGGTTTTACGTCTGAGTTCCGGTCCAACATACGCTAAGACACACAATTCTGGGGGTCCTTGAGCCCGACGCGTTCTGAATCCCCATTCAGCGGGCGTTTTAGTTTAACTGCTGTTCCCCAGAATTGGCGTCTCCATCCAGAAGTTGATCTCGGACTGGAGACGGCAGGTCTTTGATGGAGCCTTGACGAACCAGAGTCTAGACGGTTTGAAATGCCTTCCAAATATCACACTTGCCTTCGTGAAACTTGTTGCAGAAGACGCAGGGTCGAGTCTTGCAGACTCGGGTTGGATGTCCGAAGCGACGACAGCGTTCACACTGAAACTCGACCCAGCAACTGTCCGCGGTGTGTCCGAAGTCTTTGCAATTCTCACAGAACTTGTTCGCGTTCGAGCTGCTGAATCGAGCCCTCAGGTCCGGTTTGAAATCTGGAGTTGGCGGCCTCCATCCAGCATGCTCCATCACTCGAAACACTGCATCGGAAAACCCTTGCTTCCAGGCTCCATCCGGTTCGATCCCTGCTCCGGTTGTAGCACTCCCAGCGGATGAGCTTCCAGACATCGAGCTTCCAGTGGACACACTTCCAGTTGAGGCAGCAGTCGCTCGCGTCCCTGGCTTGGTCGGAATGTCTTCGACTGCATCATGGAAACGCACTTGCTTGTCATCATCACTCACCTCGTCTTCGCTCTGAACGACGAATGCTCTTCCACTCCGCTTCGGGTGGAAACGCCCATGCGAAACATTGTCGGCTCGAAAATCTCGCATCACGGGAGGAGTGTCGTAGTCGTCGTCCTGAGCCATGTCCTCGTGTTGCTTCAGCACATACTCCACGTCCTTCAGGCTTCGAATCCGCTGGCCTTGGAGAGTCGATCTCAGTCTGGTGCCCAAAAGCTTCTTCATAAACACCTTCAGATGGCGTTTTCGAGCCTTGCTGGACGACTTGAAGTCCAGGCCAGCCTTCTCAGCGACCTTGTTCAACCGGTAGTAGAACTCGAGAGGCGTCTCGGATTTCTTCTGAATCATCGTGTAATACCGCTCCGAGTCTGAAGTCTTGGCCTTGCAGTACTTCTCGCGGAATGCCTTCAGAAAACGTTTCCTGTCCCGACGCACCTTCAGCTCCAAGTTTGCTCTCCAGTTCCGAACAGGTGCAGGCATCTTGAGTTTCATCTCGTACACCTTCACTTGATCTGTCCATCCGCCCTGGGTAGCCATACTTTGGAACCGCTCCAGCCACCGAATCCTGGTCGCCAACAAGGTCTTCGGATCAAAGTCCTCCAGCGTGTTCGAATTCACAAACGGCTTGAACGTGTACACTGTAGTGCCTCCTTCCACAGTCTTCATAGTCACTCCAGGCGTCGTGTCCCCAAGCGAGCTGCTGTCCGAACTGTTGCTTGAGTCCGATTCAGAGCTAGAGTCCGAGCTCGGGTCGGAGTCCGACGGATCACCATGACGGCGAGACTTGCCCGACTTCCTCTTGTGCGACGACTCACGCCTGCGCGGCTCGGGCGACTTGGACGTTCCAGACGATGACCATCCAGGCACTCTGCTTGACGCCCATCGGGTCGGCGCAGGGGACTTCGACTCGAGCACGGGATCTGCCTTCACCTTCGAGGCGACTACCTACGGAGCTTGCGCCGCAGCTGGCTTGACGAAGCTCACCACTTTAGCCGCGTTCAAGGTCTCTTGCAGTTCGGACGCCAGGAATTCGTCGGTGTTCTTCATGTCCAGTCCCATACGCCCCGCGCTTGTACGCTCGTTGATTACGCCACTGGATTCTCGACTAGATTTCCGGTCTGAAGTTGCTCGATTGGACTGTCTGTGTCCTTGAGTTGCCAGATCGGACTGGATTTTTTCCGCAGATCTTTGATCTTGGACCGATGTCGTCTGAAGGTTGTGCAACTGTCCCACGAGATACTTCTGAAGATTCTTGGACGTCAGTCGCTCTTGGTCTCGATCCATCCGCAAGTCGTGCAAGTCCGACTGGACGGCAGCCATCATGGCGGCCGCGCGCTCGGCCTCTTCGGCTTGGCGCGCCTCCAAATGGGCCTGGTAGTGTCCATGCAGTGCTTCGGACCGCTCACGTTCCAGACGGGCAGCCTCCGCACGCAAGTGCTTCCAGAGGCTTCGCCTCGCGGCGAGTCTGACTGTCATCATGGGAACTCGGGACGACACCTTCCATCGGTCGAGCTTCAGAAAGCTGTTCCTGAACCATCCGTCCAAGTTCCACCTTCAGCGCCAGTCCAAGCTTCTCGAGTGTCGATCCCTGGGTGTTCTCCATGCGGGACACCGCATCCTGCATCTGCCTCATTGTGTTCAAGGCAATCTGCGTGGCACCCGATGACCCCGACCCGACTGAAGATTCCGACCGAAGCGACCGAGCGGATCGACCCGAGCGTCCGGACAGAGAGTGTCGATCCGACCTTCTCGAGTTTCGACTTCTGCAGCTCAGATGGTGACTGCGATCGTCCTCGCTATCAGAGCTTCCGGACGAAGGACTTCGACGGTGGCCATGTCGACGCGAGTGGCTTCCAGATTTTGTTCTCCGCTTCCGAACATCAGTCGACCCCGACACCGACATAACGACATCGTCCTGGTCAACTGGCGTCGGGGCGGGTGGAACCACTTCGCGCTTGATGTACATCGCCATTCCATCTCCAGTCGGAACACCTCCACCTTGGGCCATCATCGCCATGGGCATGTGGCTTCCGGCGACTCCATCCGGACGAAAGTGAGGAGCTGTCTCTCGACGTGAACGTCCCAGACGAAGCGCTCGTCAAGAATTGATCGGACCCACCCGACGCCCCGAAGAGACTCGGAGCCTGGGTGGACGCACTTCGTTCGGACATGGTGCTCCTCGATCCAGCATGTTGGAGAGACACTTCCGGAGATATCGTGAGCGGAGATTCCGGAGTCGGACTTGACTGGACTTCTTGACGTGTTGCGGACGCTTCGGTTGGGGCTCTGAGTCAGCGGACCCTCGCGGGCTTCACGTCTTCCGGAGTCCAGCTACCTTCAACTGCAACACGTATTCGCGTCCAAGTAGATTAGCCTCGTAGTCGTTCATCAATAAATCTCCATCCCGATCTTCAGCGTGATACTCCAAACGTGGCGGTCTTGAATCAGTCTGACCAGAAACTTCCAAGCGGCGTTGAGCTTCTCGGGCTGCGTCAACCAACTGTCTCCATTCGATCAACTCGACAGCCAGCAACTGCAACAAGTCCGAAACCACTCGACGAACCAGATCTGAATGTACCTTGTTGGCCCGTGTTCGGAACCAACCAGGGACCAAGTTCACAAACTCAAAGCCGGCTTCAAAAAGCAGAGTCTGAATGACTGCAGCGCACTCTCGCGGAGAAAACAATCCGGGCGGAATTAGGACGGCGTTCAGATCTTGGGCGGCTCCAAACGATACCCGCTTGAGCTGCATCTCCGAAATCCAAGCGTCGGCCTGACTCGCCATCGCCATGCGCCGATCCAGATACTCCGAAGTCGTCAGAGCAGCAGAGACGTACGATCCGGAATCCAAACTTCCCGGTGTCCAGTCAGTCTTCACAGTCGGAGAGACACTCCTTTCGGGCTAGTCCCGTTCCCAACGTCTAACTTGATCAGCCACGTAAGTCTTGGCTTCAGCCTCCATCATCAACGCCTCCGGCGCCCCAGACACTTCTTCGGTCGGTCCTTCAGCTCGGTCATCTCCAGTCAGATCAATGACATCTGGGTCAGGCTTCACTTCAGGTGCCGGAGTTGACGGCACTTGTTCTTGAGCCGAAGCCGGAGATTCTTTCGCATCGTCCAGCACTTCATCTTCTCGAACAGTCTTCCTCCCTGATCGTCGGCGCTCCAGAATCCAGAACCTCGACTTCTTCTTCCGGCTGAGGAGAATCCGAAACTTGACCCTCAGCCGGGGGCTCAACCTTGTCGGCGCCTCCCGCAGACGCCTCTTTGGACTCGTCCTGGTTGGACTCGTCCTCGCCAACCGTATCTCGAACCGAGTCGGTCGACTCTAAGTCGGCTGGGTTTCCCGAAAGCTTGTCTGAAGCTTCATCCGGATTCACTTGGTACGCCTCCGAACTTCCAGCTTCAGTAGTCGTCTCAGATCCCGCTGCCGACTTTGCCTCTCGGGCTGCCTTGCGCTTCCCAGCGCGCGACTGCCGAGCCGTCTTCTCCACTTTTTCTAGAGACTCCTGCTCTTCAGGCGGCAACCCCTTCACTCGACGCGACGAGCGTGACGCCTCACTGCGTTCCTGACCCTCGCGTCCAACTTCACGTGCGCCTTCACTTCCAGCCATACTTAACAAACGATCAGAAAGTTAGCTAGCAATCAGCACCTTCTGACCTTGATCGAAAACAATATAAAAAGCAACTCGGTGAAATCCTAGACTTTCAAATCCGGGCACGCGCACCAGCTGAGGCGAGGCGGGTGAACGCCTTTATCGTCCAGGGTGTATAGTTACGTGCCCAGTGATTGGGTGAGTCCAAACGAAAAACCCAAGTGGGGGTCAGTCTCCAATTGGAATACGAGTATCCCGACCGGAGTTGGCGTGTGACCTTGTGTAATCCCTCTAGGTAGCGTTTATCTTCGGTAAGTCCGGAGTTCACCACCTGAGTTGCTTTCACAATATCAATCAGATACAGAATAATACAATCGCCCACTTTCGTTTCCAAACGGAGTCAGTACGGCTGGGGGGGGGGGGTCAGACTATTAGTGGAGTCGTCCCCAAACACCAATCAATACAAACAGAGAGTTATACACAATATACAGCCGTTCTTATTCTTTCGGACCCTTGAGCGGTGGGTCTTCGGTCCAGTCAACAAAGCCTAGTTCAGAACCCTGGTCAGCTCCAAACTCACTGGCTTACTCAAATCAATATCGCGCACCACTCCCGGAGCCGAACACTAGAATTCGTTCCGGAAGACTAACCGATTCACACACAGGTATACAATCCTACCACACAACAGTCTCTCAATCAAGTTCAAGGGGTGACTACTAACAACCTCCCAAACCGCAAGTTAATAATATGAAATGGGTTACCGTTCGGTTCGCCAACTGGAATATGAAATGGCGGATCACTCCTTAGCGCGCGTCGCCGTGGTCCCCACCAATTAGATCTCTAGGTCGTAGTGGAGACTCGCACAACGGGCGTACGCGTGCCCGAGGTGAGCAAGAAACGCGTCGCCGGGCCCGGGGAATGGCTTCCTGAGGCTTGGCCGGACGACTTGTCACTCACAAGGCAAAACGAACTCTATGTTGATTTTAGTGCTAGACGATCTCTACTAGCTATTTTCCCATGTGCAGGCTTCACTTTTATCTTGGTTTCACTATGGGTCCGGGTGCCGTAATCATCTTGAACATCCGGAGACATGCAAGGAATCAGGCGACCCCTCGTGCATAACAGATCCTGGTCGGTCGCGCTGGTCGGTCGTTAACATCTTGGCCAGACTATACTGGGAGTTTGGAACCTTTCTTGATGGGTGGCCACTGGATTCCCCCCCCCCCCCCGCAGATTCAAGGACCCATCCGGATCCAAACCAGCTCTCCATCTCGATCCAAATCCAGAATTCCAGCCATCAATCCGAAACACTGCTCATCCCGGCGCCTCTGCGTCGTCGCTTGGCCTCGATACACGCTCGGTCGGCAACGGCGACCACACACATGCCTTCGGGGGCATCTATCACACACATGAGCACTCTGGCGCATGCCAACTAGTCGTCCTTCGCAGCGTTTCATCACTCGTAGCAGCTCAATTGTCCGGAGTGCACAATCTGGATCCAAACAATGACTGTCAATCTTCTTCTGTCACCGCGTCCCAGCAACGCTTGTCGCGAAAGTAAAAATTACTTCCGGAGAGATCAGCGGTAGCGTCTTCCGGAATGGGGAGCTTGAGTCCGGTCACTTCATCGAGAGTATATCCGGGCAACGTTGGAGATGGCACTTGCGGGAGTTTGCAAGTTTGCCTCGCCACACCAGTCGTGCACGTCAAACGTTGGGTCGGGATGAAGCGCGTGACTCCATTCGCGCTTCGGTGCGAGCACACCGCGCAGCGCAATCTGAAGGTCTAGACGTTACATGACAGCTTAACCGCGATCGAGAAACTCTCAGACGTGCAAGTCAAAGCGAAGACGAGCGAAGCGCCGAGAGAGAGCTTAACCGTGAACGTATGGTAGCTCTACGTGCCTCTCAGTCTAATGACGAGCGCGCAGCGTCGCAAGCGACTGACCGGGAGCAAAACGCTACCAGGCGCGAAGCCTTAACGGAGCCAGAACTCGAGGCACTGGGTGAACAGAACCGCATTCGGCGCAGGGCTGTTAAGCATCGCCACGCACACGCCAACCATGAAAACTTCCGGGTTGCCAACGTTAGGACATCGTCAATGGGCGCCACAAACTACCTCCCACAACCATGTGCCGATTGTGCCACGCTTGGAAATGGCCGGGCAAGTTCGAGTTCATTTGCTACATGCGGGGCAGAGTGAGACTACCTCCGCTTCGTGCAGCACCTTCGCGCCTCTTGGAGTGGTACCGGGACGACAAATAATATCCGGGCGTACAACCAGGCATTTGTTTTTACGTCCATCGGTGCTTCCTCCAGCGACAGACGATTTTGAGGGGTAGCTCGAGACGAGGAGGTCGCGGGACAAAACAGCGTGTACACGTACCGTATCTGAGGCGCAATGGGGCATTACTTGGGATCTATACTACCTTACGTAGACCGCGCAACGGGCGAGAGGACGGAACCAAAGTTCACTCAGATCTACATCGTGGATCCCGTGATGCAAGAGCGCGCCAAGCAACGCAAAAGCATTTATGCCGATCTGGACAACGTCGCCTTGAAGGACATCGAGGATATGATGGAGCGGTGCAATCCGTTTGCACAGCAATTCTTAAACTTCGGGGAGAGCTGCGAGCGGATTTGGCGAAGGGTATACCCATCATGGACATTGAGTACAAGATCCATGCTAAACCATCCCAACCCGGGACGGACAACTTGCCTACTGTTTCTGAAGTCGGCGCCGTTGTGGGCACGGATGGTAACGTTCCCAAGCCACGCAATCTGCTTCTCTACGCGCGGACCATCAACTGTTGCGTCTATTCGAGACCGACGAGAAGTACGATCCTCTTCAATATCCTCTGCTGTTTCCCTGGATGGACGTATTCAAACCTGTACGCGGACGGAGCTCTGTATCGGATGAAACGGAAGATGGCTTTGCGCGAACACACCGCTTATCGGCTGTTCCAGAAAGATTGTGATCAATCGACGCTTTTCTAAGGTGGGCGGCTGTTCCAGCAATAGGTGAATACGGAAAGCCTGATGTGTTCCTTACCAAGACGTACAACCCCAAGTGGGAAGAGATCCTGGAAAAGCTCCCTGCGGGTCAAACCGCTCAAGACCGCCCGGATATCGTTGCCCGGGTCTGGCAACAAAAGCTCAAGACCCTTTTGGCGGATTTGGACGAAGGTATAATCGGGCGACGACAGGCCCGTATTTACGTAGTGGAATTCCAGAAGCGGGGCCTTCCACACACCCACATTCTCACGATTCTGGAGGATGGAGACAAGCCTCGGACTCGCGAGATTTTTGACAAGTTGGTGTCTGCGGAGGTGCCCGACAAGGACGTTAATCCTGATCTGAACGAAACGATCGTGAGTAGCATGATGCATGGTCCGTGCGGAGCTGCGAACCCTACGAGCCCATGAATGAAGGACGGGAAGTGCAGTAAGGGGTATCCGAAGCCGTTGGTAAAAGTGACTCGATCAAACCAAGACGGGTACCCTGTCTAGATGCGGCGCCGGCGTGAACCGGGGGTTCTAACGTACAAAGGCAAGACGTACGACAACGAGACAGTGAACCAGTGGGTGGTTCCGTATAACCCGTACCTTTCGCAAAAGTACAATTGCCACATCAACGTGGAGGTGTGTACGGCAATTACGGTGGTGAAGTATCTGTACAAGTACGTATACAAAGGGGCTGACAGAGCTGTGATTACTATTGAAGCCGTGCGAGACCCCAACAGCCCCCGTGTGGAGCCGAACGAGATCCTACGGTTTTTGAACGCCAGGTACATATCACCGGTAGAGGCATTTATGCGGCTTTTGGCGTACGATATCCAAGGCAATACACACTCCGTTACGAAGCTTACCGTTCACTTAGAAGATGGTCAGACGGTGATTTTCCAACCCACCGAGGACCCAGCAGCGGTCGCAGATCGGGGGAAACGTACAATGTTGACGAGCTTTTTCGAGCTATGTGCGAGTCAAGACCCAAACAACCAGATTGCCAAGACCATGTTGTACCAAGATATCCCGAAGAAATTTTCCTGGGATGACAAGGCGAAAAAGTGGGTTCGTAGAACTAACTACCAGGCGGCGATTGAACGCTTGATCCACGTTTCACCCAGAGATATGAAGCGCTTCTATCTGCGCGTGTTACTATGTCACCACAGGGGAACGACTTCCTTCGAGGATGCCCGCACTGCGAATGGAGTCCTTTTACAGCACATATCATTTGGCGGAAAATCACGCCGGCTTTCTGGACGGCTATCAAGAGTGGGTCGCATGCAGGTCGGAAGCCGCAACGTTTAAGATGCCGAAGCAACTGCGCCAGCTGTTCGCAACGTTGCTGGTGTATTCCCATGTTACAGACGTTCGGGCGTTGTGGGATCAGTTCTACGAAGAACTTTCCAGAGATATCTAGAAGAAGTACAAGAATCTTGAAGGTCAGACCAAGGCGGATACTGTCCAATTCCACACGCTCAAGAGACTTAACGACCACTTGTGTAATGGGCCCCATTTACATAAGTAGGTAGATTGACAGTACATAAATTAGTTAAGTCAGTACACGGGTAGCGTGTACTGACGGTCTTCGTGATTGGCTGAAGTGGGGGAGCCAGACCCCATTTCAGCCCATCAGGCGTTGACATGCATCTGAGTGGCTCACATGAGACCAGGGGTAGCCGACCTGGTCCTAACATAAAACAGAGTTGATTTTACCCAAGACTGCCTGCTTGTTCTCACTAAATCCGAGTCTAAACTAAGTTTCATCACCGCTACGTGTAAGCTGATAACGGACACACACCTGGTCCGTTACACCTGGTAGCACTTTGTAGTCCTTCCAACGACCAACACCAAGATGAGCCAAGTCCTGACGTCCGGTCCTTCATGGGCGGTTCCTTCCCCCATCTCACGCTCATTGAGTGGGAAGCTCTCCATCGCCTCGCGGCGATGTCCGGAGAGGCTGTTGTCACTTCGCTGCTGAGCTCAGCGATGCCGGAACAACAGCGCCAAGCTGCCC